CCTCATTAAGTCCATTCTCTTTATTGGGCCAAGGCCTAATACCAAGTCCTTGACTTGAAAGTCTTAATATAAAATCCACTATTGGCCCAATTTTCTAAATTGGGCCGAACATCCTAATTGGGCCAAACACCATGATCCACTATCACTACTTGGCCCAAAACATTTTATTTACAGAGTCCAGCAACGGCCCAATTCTATTTAGTCCATAAACAGCCCAAAATCCGAAGTCCATTTGTCGAAGGCCCAACAGAGGGCGTACGCGGGGCGTACTCGTCCAGTCGTTGACCACCATCGGGGTGGCTGACCTAGTACCCTGGCCGTATTGGATTTACGCTGGGCGTACACTACAGTTTGTCAAAACCTTATTAGGTGCTTAATCGCTTAAGCACTTAAGCCCAAACCCCAGATCCAGAGGCCTAACATGCCTAGGATCCATAAAGTCACGAACTTTATCACTTTGGACATCCATACAGTTCTTAATGCTTGGTGTTAATCCATTAAGACCTTATTTCTCTTTGCATGGGACACTTACAGCTAATGGGACCTTATTTTTATCACTCAAGGTCCCTTCAAGAGCCTGGAAGGACAACTCTTTTCGTCCAAATCACACATGCACCACTTTATGGATTTTGGGACAAGAAATGGGTCTTTTAAAGCAAAATGGAGAGATCTAATCATATAAGCATAAAGTTTGGAACTTTATACCTTCTGAAGCTTCTTGTGCATGAGCTAACTTCAGATCTACAAGCTTGGTCTCTTCCTTCAACTCTTTGATGCAATGGTTCCCTCTTAAAGCACTCAAGAACACACCAAATGAGCTTAAACACACAAAGGGGAGGCTAGGGTTTGAGAGAGACGAGTTTGATCTGTGGAGGCTGAGGTAAGAGAGGTGTTGGTGCACATTATGTTGCTTATATAGGCCCCAAACCCTAAATGTTAGGGTTTCATTCCTGACGTTAGTACGCCCAGCATACACAAGTGTACGCCCAGCGTACTAAGGTGGACCTTAATACGCTTAGCGTACTGCTATGTATGCGCAACGTACCCCCTTTTTGGCCCAAATTTGCAAACTTAGCCCTTAAACTTGTATTGGCTCTCCATTCCCAATCCCAAGGGCTATAATCGACAAAGTAATGATAGAATAGGGTTCGGAAATAACTGTAAAATCTTGGGATGTTACAAGTTTGGTTGCTATGTTTCATTCATATTCAATTGTTATGATACTGTACATGAAGTCATCCGCCCCCGGATGTTTCCGCCATCCCGGTTCGGGGGTGTGACAGTACCATTGTTGCCATTATCACGCCCTCGATTTTGGTTTTGAGACTGATTGCGGGAGTAATTGTTGCGGGTGTTTCCATGACGATTGCCTCGATTGTTGTTGGGTGGAAGAGAGTCATAAAAACATGTGGAGAAGTTTGTTGGGAGGCAATAGGATTTAGTTGAAAACCTAATTGAGATGCCAATTGTTAAAGAGTTTGAATGGCATTTCCGGTAGAGGAAGCAAAAACATGTGGTGATGCAATTACTGTAGCAGGGATTTAGATGGGTTTGTTGATCATGTAGTCATGATCACTTAGAAGACCATGTAACTCGTTGAAGCTGATTGGTGGATGACGAGCCAAAAGAGTTGACTTCAAACTGTTGTATTCCTCCCTGAGTCCCGAGATTGCTAGCATGACGAGATCTTTATCCTTCATTGGTTCACCGATGTTGGTGAGGACTGTGGCATACTCTTGATGTAATAGCCCAAAAACCAGGTAAAAGATCAAAGTATCGATATAAATAAATACGAAAATGTTGGAGAGTGAATGTTGCGCCATCAAGCCGGTCCCTACCCCTTAGTACTGGAAGTACCTGAAAACACCCCAAATAAACTGTAAGCAAAAGTTTTGTGATTTCCCCAAAATATCACATAACATACAACCACAAAATACCATGCGACATTCATATAGTTGCCATGGGCTACCCACTACTCCCATGGTCTGATATCCAAGTGTCATGGGCTACCCCTATGGTCTTTACCTGGAATGCCATGGGCTACCCTATGGTATGATATCCAAGTGTCATGGGCTACCCCCATGGTCTTTACCTGGAATGCTATGGGCTAACCTCATGGTCTGATATCCAAGTGCCACGGGCTGCCCCCATGGTCTTCATACAAGTAAATAAATAACAACTGTCAATCCCCATGTCAGATGATGGGCCGACATTGGTGCATTCGACCCATTGATGTAGTGAGAAGACTCACCTCAGACTGATGATATGTAAAAATTGCTCGGCTACCAGTCCGGAAATCTCACACTGTAAAAAATTTACAATTTATCCTAATTAGCATTATGATACACACCCTACTCATGGGCCCAAAATCCCTAAGTCCAAACTCTTCAAATAAGACCTAAAGGTCTTTCTCCTTTAATGGGCCTAACCACTCTGTGTCCAAATCAATAAGGGGCCATAAGGCCCAAAAATGTCCCAACCTTGCCACCTAAGGCCCATTCCGTGACACATAAGGCCCACACAGGAAACTAAGTCCACCTATCTTTAACGGGCCATGGACCAAGACTAGATAAGGCCCAAGAGTCCTAAAAGCCCAACTCTCGTCCATCTGTCCAAAGGACGTAAGAGCATCGTACAACATCAGTACGCTTAGCGTACTCGGTCATGAGGTAGTACGTGTAACGTACACCCCAGTACGCCCAACGTACAAGGCTGCTAAGCATAACCAACCATTAAGAGCTTAATCCATGCATCCACTTCGTTAATTTCCAGATTATGGGCATTTTAAAGGTTCTAGGGCATAAATTTGGCAACTTTATGCCTTTGCATGCTTCATGGGAGCCCAAAATCCCATTTTGTCCATTAAGAGTCATTTTAAGAACTCAAACCCATGCATGGTACCATTACAACCATCAAGATAGCATTTTTATGTTTTTAACATGCCAAAGGGACTCAGATCTACTATTTGTAAACTCTGGAGTTGCTCAAACTCACAAGGGAGGATCCAAGGACCAAAATGATCTCATTACTAGACCCTAACTCAAACTAGCAAAAGGATTAGCGTATGAACTTTTTACCTCCAAAATCTCTCCAAGATGAAGTAGATGCAGGGTCAAGAAGCTCAACCACGTCCAAGGCTTGGATGCCAAGCTCTTCTTCTTGCAAGCTCACTAAAATGGCAACCAAAGACATTAAAATGGCAACCAAAGACACTTTAAAGAATCACACTCACTAGCAAACTGCTGTTTAAGGGACAAAAACAAGTAGTGGAGGCTGTTACGGCTGAGGTCCAAATGCTATAAGTGAGCTTAAATAGGGTTCATGCCGTAAGATTAGGGTTTTTAACTCTGGCCACGTACGCCCCACGTACACCTTAGTACGCCCAACATACTTGGTTAAGGTCCGCGTCCAAATTACCCATGTACGCTAAGCGTACACATATGTACGTCTAGTGTACGGAAGGGCATCCCACGCAAAATAAATTTAATCCAAGGGCCAAAAGGCAACATACCGAATTCTAAATGTTACACTTGAGCCCTGCTTAGATAGCCCTGTGGAGATTCATCTCCATTTATGGCGATTTTAGGAAGATGGGTTTTAGAATCTATTCACAAAGAGGCAGTGTTTGGCGAGTATACCCGTTCTAGGGAAAGCCATAGTTCTCTGGAGGTTTTCCCTTGCACGTGTTGAAACTGTGACATCCCCATTTTCACGGCCAGAAAAGACCGATTTGTTTATGCTTTGTTTGAAAAATCAGAGTAACATTTTAAAGAAAAGTCTTGCGGAATTTGTTCCCAAAAGAAAAATATGATAAAGATTTATCAAAGCATTTCCGAAGAAATGTATTTCATTATATTAAAACCTCGGGATGTCATGTTCGATACAGATCAAAAGCATAAACAGAACAACATAGGCCTTACAACATTTATTTATATCTACTGGCCTGTAATCCATAATCCCTCATCAATTCATCCAACTATGCTGTTGTGCCACTACCTGTAATACAAGAAACTGAATGGGTCAGGCTTAGGAGCTTGGTGAGCACATAGGGTTTTCAACCCACAATAAATAAATTTATTATTTTCATCAACCAAACAAACCCGATTACCCGTTCCCGTTATCCTCACTTTACGTCCCTAAAGCATCTTATATAAGGGACCTAGCCTAAGGTTATTCATCGGGGCGACGACACTGCTTTGGGGGTTCATCAGCAATTTATGTCAAATAAGGCAACCATGAGGGGGATGGAGTATTGCTGGTGAACACTAAGTTCAAATAAACACCTACAGGTTGTGTGCCTGCTAGCGTTCCACTGGACTGTCTAGAATAGTCTGTGTTCGTCATCTATACTCCGCTAGATGAATGGATCATCTTAAACATCGAGGCCTCTCATCATTTTATTTTATCACACACTAATTGTTACATCTACCCATGTTTTACCCAACATATTTTGTAGATATAAAATGTGTATACAGTTTAAATCATTTAAAACATGTATAAAATCGTTCATCCAGCATAGATATCAAGTAAACAGAAAATATGCACACATAGCACGTAATTTATATAAAATACTTCATATCTATGTGTAAGATGAAAGTAACAATGCACTCACCTGTACAGGTGGTGATTCTGAGTTCAGACAACACTTTGCTTTCTTAAAAACAATTTCCTTTGACGAAACCTAGTATTATTACCACTAGAGTTTAGTCTTATATTCACCAAGACTAATTAATAGTCTAGGTATTATTATTATTATATAAGTGTTAAACAATAAGTCTCAACCACTATGTACAAATAGGGGCCATACATGAAACACCGGAGGGTACCTTAATTTTTCCCATACTAAAATCACACGTTTACCGGAAGAAGTGAGTGACCTTTATAATCTACAGAGCTTGTTGGTTCATGATTGTGATGAGTTATCTAGCTTACCAAAAAGTTTTGCAAAATTAATAAACCTACGACATCTTGATATAAGTAATACTCCAAAATTGAACAAGATGCCCTTGGGGATCGGTGGGTTGACGAGCTTACAAACTCTACCCATGGTCCTTATTGAAGAAGGTAACGGGTTCAAAATATCCAACCTTAAGGGCCTGACAGATCTTCAAGGCAGGCTTTCTATTTTGGGGCTAGACAAAGTGATAGATCCAATACAAGCAAAGGATGCCAACTTACATCAAAAGAAGGGTCTTGATGTTTTGGTGATGGAATGGAGTGATGTGTTTGATAGTTCTGGTAATGATTTGATTGAATATGAAGTACTCAAAGAACTAAGGCCTCATCATAAGTTTAAGGATCTCACAATTTGTTTCTACAAGGGAACGAGATTTCCTAGTTGGGTTGGCGATCCCTCGTTTGATCAGTTAACAGAGATTATGTTATATGGTTGTAGAAGTACACATTTACCAACACTTGGATGTTTACGGTCTCTTAAGAAATTGATTGTTGAAAGCATGAATGAAGTGCAGACCGTGGGTTTTGAGTTCCTTGAATCCACTGCTTCTTTTCATGGCATTGCATTTCCATCCCTTGAAGTTCTGAAATTTAAAGATATGGAAAGTTGGCAGAGATGGTCGATTAATAGTGGCGACCGACATGGAATTCCTACATCATTTCCTCGTCTTCATCAGATCTCTATTGGATATTGTCCAGAACTAGCTCAAGTGTCAATCGGATTGATACCTTCACTTCGGGTTTTATATATAACAAGATGTTCCAATGTAGTGTTAAGAAGCATGGTCGGTTTGTCCACGTCACTTGTTAGTTTGGAAATGGTGAATGTTAAAGAACTTACTCAACTACATGGAGAAGATTTAATGCATCTTGGGGCACTTGAACATCTACATATCAGCAATTGTGATGAACTGAGATACATGTGGGAACGAGAATCAGAGGCATGCAAGAGTCTTGTGAGTTTAAAGAAGTTGGAAGTATGGTATTGTAAAAACTTGGTTTCATCAGCCGAGAAAGAGGCTAATATTGGGATCAGCATGGCATCACTTAAATCTGTGGAATTTCGTAACTGTGAGACATTGGAGAGTTACAATTGTCCAAATAGTGTTGAGAGCTTGTGTATAAGTAATTGTGATTCAATGAAATCCTTGACTTTCTCAGCAGTGCAGGAGCACCCATCCACTCTCACTGACTCGATAGCCGGTGATTTCGGTTTTCTCCCTGTGTCTCGCCTAAGATCTCTTGAAATCCAAGACTGCAAGAATCTAAAGTCATTTCCTCATGAGCATTTTCAAAGTCTCAAATCTTTGGAAGAAATGCTGATAACTGAATGTCCAAGTATGGACTACTCTTTCCCTTGTGGGGTGTGGCCTCCTAATTTAAACAAACTATCGATAGGAGGCTTACATAAGCCCATGTCAGAGTGGGGACCGCAAAATTTTCCAACCACACTAGTTAATCTAAAGTTATATGGTAAATGTTCAGGAGTGGTTTCGTTTGCAGTGGCAGAGGATGTGAGGAATACTACAACTACTCCATCATCATCATCATCTTTTCTTCTTCCTCCATCTCTTGTTTCTCTAGAACTCAATGGTTTTGAGGATGTGGAATCATTTTCAGAGGTCATACAAAACCTCCCGTGCCTTAAAACACTTTATATTTTGTCATGCCCGAAGATTACAGATCTTAAGACAACTTCCGGCCCGTCAAATTTGACAATATTTGTATGGTAGTAGAAAAGGTATGTCATCTCCTTGCTGTTCAATATCCTTCTCTTATTACAATTAGTATTTGTTTGAAAATGTGAAAGAGGGTTCTACGTCTTGTATCTCTCTTTGACTTTTAAAGGTATTGTGTTTCTCCTAAAATAAACATCACCAATTCTTTTCGTTTTTTTGGATCAATGCGATATTCCATTTAAAGTGACAGTCAATCTCTGCATTCTTTTTCTCATTATTTATCCCAAAGTATTAGGAACATTAATTTTGAGACTTGTTTGTTGATAAGATTATTTTAAATTTTTTAACTAATAATCAAAACTGGTATTGAAAGAAGAAAAAACTATAAATGCTGTAGTTGAATACCTCTTCTTTGTGGAATTTTCCCATTAAGTTGCTTTATTGTTTCCATTTGAGGAAGAATTGAATGAATACTTGTATCTTACTTTGTTATTTTATCTGCACTCTGTTGCAACATTTTTGTGTTTGTGTTTTCTTTTTTGTTGTCATTTGGTTTGTTTTCATTGATTTTTGGTTCCAATAACCTTGTCCACTGTTGAAATAACTACTAAAAAAAATTAATGGAATTTCAACTTTAATCCAGAAACTTTGACCTTCCAGGTCAAACCCGTTGTCATTAAAATATTGATTTGATACATTTTGTACAAGTTTAGCACCATCTTAATCCCTTTTTAGTATCTGTTATATAACTTCAGAGTTTTTTACAAATTTGTATCGATTTTGAGTTAAAATTAGTCCATTTGACATTAAAACTTTATTCTGTTTTGGTAGAAATTAACATGGTCAAACTTTGTATAGCATGATTATGTCTTTTTATGTGGTTGTCCTTTTCTTATTGTCTTGAGATCATATTTCAACTATAATCAGTGATCAGTATCATAAGGATGATGTAAGTCCACATATTCTAGATTTCAAATATTTTTCCAACTTCTTTATTCTCATTAGTGATTAATGGAAGAGATTGTTTATGAAATCATATTTAACAAATCCAGTTTTATGCCATGTTGACATGTTCCTATAAATGAGTTTTCTTCTATAAGTCACTCAAATTCTGTAGGCAAAACATGGATATATGCATCAGGTGGTTACACAGCTGCAGCATTCGATATCATAGTCCACAGGATGGAGGCTGTTGAAGGTCATTGGATTGTAGAGACTACCAAGGATACAAGTAAATACCAAATACATCTTCAAAATCTGGGATATATGATGGATGTAAGCATGTATTGATTAATTTATTGTACTTGAAAGCAGTAAATATCAACATACAATTTCTTTTGGTATTTTTGATTGGGATTTCATTTATAAATGGGTTGTTTTGAAATGCATTGTACACTTTATATCTAAATAATTTAGCAATGATTTGTAGCGGGTAGAATTAACCGTTGATAAATGTAGTATTTCACTTTTGAGCATTTAAGAGTGGGGGGAGTTTCCAAATTTATACTTGTGAGTTGGGTATTTACTTTGGAAAGATGCTGCCATTTCCAAGTATTAATTTGAGGGGTGTTTCATTTGGTTGTTGGGAAAAAGTTTGATTTCTTTAATCTCATTACTTAAACTGTTAAACATCAAGATATTGGGGGTGCAAATTCTGATGCCATATGCTTTTCATGATCAAGATGTTTCAAGGATTATGGGGTTCAGATTTCAGGGCTTTTGGTGTTTGAGAAGAGAAAGAAAATCCCTGAAAAAGAGAAACATTACATGAGATCCAATCCCAATCGTTGAAGAAGATGAAGACCTTTGAACCCAGATCTAGATAATGAACTTCTAATCCCCAATTTTGAAAAACTTTGAATCCCAAAATCAACCCGGATGAAGAACTTCCAATTGCATTATGCTTTTTCATGTGAAGGGAAGGGAGTTGGGGATTCAAATTTTGATGTGATATGCTTTTCGTGATCAAAATGCATTTTCAATCTGCTTCATCTACATTTAAAGAACTCAAAGACCATGGCATAACAAGCTAAAGAAGCGAAGAACTTAAAGTCCGATATTTTTTAGCTACTTTAGTTCTTTTGTTAATTAAAATTGATTGAATTGGTATACAGATGGTGGACACGTCGAAGTTGTTGATTTGGAAATATAGTTGAAACTTGGATTGTTTTATTCAAAAGAAAATCTATGATTTATCCACAAACTATACAAACTATGGTAATATGTTTATAATTTGCCCTACAAATTTATAATTTTTAATAAAAGTTGGTGTTAACTTGGTGATATTGGTGTTGATAAATAACTGATGAAAACCTACAATCATTGTAAAGTTAAGGACAATGTTAACCCATATTTATATTTTATAGTTTACTTCATCTGGATTATCAGAACTCTTTTCAGCACCCAAGTTTAATTTTTGTTTCATTGTTATGATATATATTTTTTTTTATTTTTTTACAAGTTTAATATTTTTTTTCAAACTGCGAAGACATAAAAGAAAAAAATGACATAAATAATCTACATACCCTGCCCACTCTCGCAACCCTATGTGTGATGAGTTAAGGGCCATAATTGAACATCAAACATGTTACCTTGTTGCAATCAAGTGGCCTGTATAGGTGGAAATAACGTTTGTACCCCTGTTTATACTCCCTTGTTGCAATCAAGTGGGCACATATAGGTGGAAATGACATTTGTACCCCTGGACAATATAGATTCAAGAATAGCAATGTACTTTCATTGATTTGTTTATTTATTATAGCATTCTACTTTCATTTCTTTCTATCACAACGTTATGCTTTGAAAAATCTACCAAATTTTAGCAATATCGTCTCTCACAAAGTATAGTGTCCTAATAATTAGGAAAAAAATTGTATTTCTTGCATTATACCTAAGAAAATCTTTGGTGTCATATCATGGGGGATGAAAGTTGCTGACACTAACAGAGGTCTAGCAACATACGAAATACTAAAAATATATGTTAAAATTACTAAAATGTCCCTGGTTACTAGATTTTTCTATACTGTTGTTAATGACTTTTTAGTTTTTACCATATAATAATTATAAACGGAATATGTCAAGTAATATTAAAATAAATATATTAAGAAACAGAGTAAACCTCAAGAATGGTGCAAACAGAGTAAAATAACAACTTATTATTTTATTATATAGAGAATACATAAATCTTGTTAGAAACATCAACATTAGAAGACAAGGCCTCCAAAGCATGTAAGAACAATTGTTCTTTAAACAATATATATAAGGTGAAAAGATGATGTCAAACATGCCACCAACAAGGGAACAGGCAGGACATATGAAGATAAAAAAATAATTTAATTTGTTGTATATATGTTATTCTTGGTTCATTCTAAATCTGCTAATTAAAATGATAAGAATTAGAACTGCCTAACTTTCCTTCATACAAACAACTAAAGCAGAAATGACATCGGTTCAAGTACACATAACTAAATATCGGTTCAATTAGTGACTTTTTTTAAACTACCTATCACCACCGTCAAAAGCATCCTCATAACTGTCGCATTATCACCATCGTCAAAAGCATCCTCATAACTGTCGCATGGCTTTCTCTTAGGCTTTTAAAGCAGCCCTTTCCAAGGTGGTGCCTCATCCCGGGTCCGTTGAAGCGTGGGTTGCTTTGTTAATTCTACCTAGGTGTACTCTTCAGGTGTTCAGGCCTAAGAATAGGCAAGAAAGAAGGTCTGGCAACAGGAAGTCTTCGCAACATTGTAATATTTTGAGTGCTTTAGCTACTTGGGGGACTGAAGACGGTATCGCCAAGCTAGTTAAAAACTAAGTTGGCAATGCAAGACTGGAGCAACAAGGCAAAAAAGAAGAGTACATTCAGGATGAAAGAACACCGGACAACACCAATGTCAAACAATGTCTTCGTAAGGTTGCCGATGGACATTTTACAGCAGCAGTGAAAGTTTTATGTTCTTCGGGGGTTGCTCCATTTGAGGGTGATACCACGAAGGTATTGGAGGATAAGCATCTATACAAGCCACCACCTTCCATGCCCAACACCATATTTTCATAACCTCCCCTTGTAGTGGATGTTGACAATGTCCTTGGGGGAATTAAATCCTTCCTTAAAGGTACCTCGTGTGGGAGAGACGGGTTGAGAGCTCAACACATTTTGGATGCCCTTTGTGGTGAAGGTTCGGCTATAGCTAACGACCTCCTGCATACTATTACATTTGTGGTTAATCTATGGCTAGGGGAGATGCCCTTCGAGTTTGGCAGAATTTATTGCCTCTACTCCTCTCACGACTCTTTTAAAACATGACAAGGGAATTCGACCTATTGCAGTAGGTACTATATGGAGACATTTGGTTTCTAAGTTGGCTATGAAAGGTGTTGGTAAGGAAATGACCACATATCTCAATGATTTTCAGTTCGGGGTCGGGGTGTCGGGTGGTGCTGAGGCCATATTACATAGCGCCAATAGGATGTTGAGTGAGCGCCACGATGACGGATCTCTTTCCATGCTTACCGTGGACTTCTCTAATGCCTTTAACCTTGTCGACAGATCCGCATTACTTCATGAGGTCAGATTGGGGTGTCCTTCTATATCCTTGTGGGTAGAATTCCTCTATGGTCAAGCAGCAAGGTTGTATCTAGGAAACACACATATTTGGTCCACTACTGGGGTTCAGCAAGGAGACCCCTTGGGACCACTTCTCTTTGCCCTTGTGTTGCACCCGCTCTTGCACAATATTAGCGGCAATTGCAAGCTTCTTCTCCATGCATGGCACCTTGATGATGGCACACTTATTGGAGATTCGGATGAGGTGGCCAAAGCGTTGGACATCATTACGGTGATTGGCCCAAATTGGGCCTTCAACTGAATATCAAGAAAACCGAGCTCTTTTGACCCTCGTGTGATGGTAGGAAGCTACGTGAGGGGCTATTCTTGGCTGACATCGGAAGGCTGCATTTGGGGGTGAAACTTCTTGGGGGAGCTGTTAGTAGAGATGCTAGTTTCATTAGCAGCTTAGCCATAAAGAGAGCCGAAAACGCTGTGAATTTGATGC